TGTCTCTGTGTGTCTATTGATGGCTTATTTGCCCGTGTGCCAAGCTTCCAGGAATTTCCTAGTGTTTTTGGATCTATCTTTGTCTAGGATTCTCACAGTTTCCCAGTTGAAACTATGGTTGAGTCTGTCCATGTGTTAGAATCTGTTAATGTAGCCATACAATAAAACAGAATTAGCTCATCTGGTTGTGTTTCCTGTCTGGTCTACCTGGGAAGGCTGACAACAATCTTGCAAGTCTGAAAGTACAAATCTCCCGCCGTCTCCTTTACAGCCTGAGAAGCTAGGGAGGGTCCCTTCTGAGCTTCTTTCTCCACCCATTATGCAGCTGCGGGCTATGCTGTCTCTTATCTGACCGTTCCCTAGGCAGCATCTCTTCGCCCCATCTCTCAAGGTCTTTCTCACATACCATTACAATGATGCATGTAAAAAGGGGGCAGGGCCTGCACTTGCCGTTTTGACTTTTTCAACCCCTCCTACAGACACCCCTGGGAAAAGCCCCATCAGCCTCACTTACAAAGCGGAAACAGCTGCGCACACTGGGCTCCACGTTGCTCCCACCAAAGGCCGCCACTTCCCCTAGTTGTCGTGGAACTTGGATGGCTTCGTGGAGCAAGATGCCGAGATGCCTCTGGTCGCAGAGTCCACTGGAGTTGGCCACCTGGCTAAAGAGGTCTAAAAAGCAGGAAGGAAGGGCATGGAAGAGCCACAGATGATGGGGTGGAGAAAGATGAGGAAGAGCTGCTGAAATCACAGCCTTCCTCAGGCAATCTTCCTGGTCTTGTAGGAAGAAAATAAGCTTGACCAGAACCTGTGTCTGAACTGTTAAAATGCAGAGGGGAAATTTTATTTCTGTGAAGGCCTCCAACTGGGAATCCTTTATATTCTCACTGGACTATAGTCCCAGGATTCTTTGGAGAAAAACACAATGGCTGATACATGAACATGCACATTTTTGGCACAGCTACAACTTATGGCAGTATTTTGCAAAGTTTTAGCTTCAAGGAATCTTTCCATATCAAGTAAACCACCATACAAATTTTACATATTGTCATGAGGTATCTGCCTTGGGCAGCCCATACTGGCTGGAATGGCAAAGTATTAAGGAACAGGGCAGTAGGTACCAGGGATCCCGTCCCCCGTCCCCTAAATTAGTTTGCTGCCCCCACGTACAGTGAAGGACCTGACCCCTAACCCATTTTGAAACCAGATGGAAGATGCAATCTTGTCTTTCAATTCAGGCAGCAATATCTCCCAAATCAGATCTATCCTTCAGCTCTGTTTGATTTAATAAGGAATAGCTGGGGAGAAAACTCTGGA